GCTCAAACTTTTCCATGTGTCTCAGGAATGTTTCTGAATTCCTCGAATTTTATCCAAAAAATAATAATTCAGATTTTATTTTTCTGTTCTTGCTGTGCTACTATACTTCAGCTTCTCATATAATTTGCTTGAACTAAATCATATCTACTATATTTTGCTTCATATGCCTAAATCAATTCAACATTTTTTTTTATCCATCTATGCCGAGCAAGCCTGAGTTCATTTGCGCTTCCCCATCTCTCGGAATGTGAAAGCATTTGCAAGAATTACCAAGCGCCACTCCCCCCCTCAAGCAGGCTGCAAGCACACCCCTCCCCCTCCGCCCCCGCACTCACCCCCTCCCCCCTCCGTTCCAGGTGGAGCAGGCCTACAAGCAGTACATCAAGGACACCGTCAAGCTCTTCGACGCCAGCGGACCCGATGCCGTCGAGTTCGCCGCCCACCTCTTCCACTACGAGAGCCGGATCGCCGAGATCACGCCCTCGGAGCGGATCCTGAAGGACCCTCTGGCGTCGAACCATCTCATCTCCGTCGGGGAGCTCTCGCAGATTGCCAGAAGCGTACGTGGGGGTTTATTTGTATATATACGTGGGGATTTACACACACACACACACACACACACACACACACACACACACACACACACACACACACACACACACACACACACACACACACACACATATATATATATATATATATATATATATATATATATATATATATATATATATGGGGATTCATAGATATATACGTGGGGGATTTATTATCATTATTTTACACCTAACTGATACATATCCCCCATATCACTATCTTACACCTGATACATACCCCCCTCCATATTATCTTACATCTAATTGATACATATCCCCCCATATCATTACCACACCTACCTGATACGTATCCCCCCAAATCACTATCTTACACCTGATACACATCCCCCCATATCACTATCTTCCCTCCCCCCCCATATCATTATCTTACACCTAACTGATACACACACCCCATATCACTATCTAACACCTCATACACATCCCCCATATCACTATCTTACACTTAACTGATATAAATCTCCCTATGTCACTACCTTACACCTACCTGATACATAACCCCCCCCTCCCTAATATCATCTTATCCCCCTCCCCCCCTCCTCCCCCAGGTCCCGTGGCTCGACCTCCTGCGCCACATCTTCCCCAACAGCAAACTCGACCACAGGACGGATGTCTTGGTCGTGTCTCGCGAGTACTTCAGCGACCTCTCGGAGCTCATCTCGACGACAGACAGGAGGTAAATTTGTGTGGATGGAGTCGTTTGTTGGTTGGTTTGTGGTTTGTTGTGAGGATTTTTTGATTATTATTTCGTAGTATTGTATTTTCATTTTTTTGTTTGTTTTTATTTTATTATTATTATTATTATTGTTATTATTGTTATCATCATTATCACTATCATTATCATTATAATCATTATCATTATTATCATTGGAGAGAGAGAGAGAGAGAGAGAGAGAGAGAGAGAGAGAGAGAGAGAGAGAGAGAGAGAGAGAGAGAGAGAGAGAGAGAGAGAGAGAATATTATACATATGCATACATACATATATATATATATATATATATATATATATATATATATATATAATATATATATATAATATCGATATTTCTTCTGTTTCAGTCTCTTGAACAACTACCTGATCTTCAGCTTCGTGACAGCCTTTATGCCCTATTTGTCAGCGGAAAACAGGAGAGTTCTGGATCTCTATCACAGGGAATTTACAGGTGTGTTGAGTTAATTTGTATCATGGTATCTCTTCATTATTAAATTGTTATGTTATATTATCTTACGGTTATTATATTTGTGGGTTTTATTGTATTATTGTTTTTTTTATCGTATATGGTTTTGTGTTCGATTTGTTGGATTTGGGTGGAAAAGTGTGCCGTTTAAAGAACTTTTAATAACGAAATGTATTCGTTGTTCATGACTTTTCGTTCGGTGTTTAGGTGGTGGGGAAGGGGGGGCACGGATTCAGAAAGCTGGTTCTAAGAAGGGATGATTTTGGTCCTTGTCCGCTAGTTTATTTCATTCATCTTCGTGTTTCATTTTTTTCTGTGGTCCGAGGTTACGATCTGACAGGCCGTGCGTCTGTGACATGGATTGGGAATTTACCGTCCACCTCTGTTCCAAGGAGGCTATATATATATCCTTTAGACTCCTTGTTCTGCACAGAAATCACCTTCTGCACACGCCAGAGTACTCGTTACTGCGTGGGAGACGCCTAAACCACGAGTTTTCGTACCAGTTCGCAGTCCGGTCGTCGTCGGATTGTGCATGCAGGATTTCTAGCCACTAGTACACCGTCCCAGAGGAGACGACCACGGTTGGTGCTTGTAGGATGCCTTATCGAAGAGTACAGGGCACTGCTCTGCAAGTAACGGATGAGTTCGGGTTCTCTGCATTGCATGAGGCTATTCATCCTTGCTGGTCGACACGTAGTCCATGTGGAG